GAAATTTTTTTTTTTTTTTTTTTGTACGGGGGATTGAACTTAGCACCTTGCACTTGTGATGCAGGCGCGGTACCACTGAGCTAATCCCGTATTGAAGTTTTGTCCTGGTTTTGGTTTTTGACCTGGAGGTAGGCTGGCCCTGGGTTCCAGTAGGTTGGACATTAGGCAAAGTCAAGATGGGACCAGCCAACTCCACTTCACTAAGCCTAAGCAGGAGAGTCCTTTGTGCTGTGGAATCCTACACAAAGGGCTCATCCTTATTGGTGATGTCTACTTCCCCTATTGATTTGGGCTTGTGTGTCTTTGGTGACAGTGTTTTGGGTGCCCGTGTTGTTGAGATAGGTGGGGAAACTCAAGGGTCTTTGGGTCTGGAGGCAGATGCTTATGGTCAACTTGGGGCCGCGTGTGTGTGTGTGTATAAAACACTGTGGGAACTGCCTGTTGCTTACAGAGCAGTAGGTCTAGCCCTGCAATGAGTTGTCACCGCTGAACATCACAAACATGGCTTCCACTGCTGTGTGTTTCAAGAGCGAGGGGAAGTCTGAGAGAAGTGTGAATCCCATGGGGGAGTGGCCTTCAGATCTAGGCCAGCGACTGGCGGTGGGCCGGTCTTTGCCTCTTTCTGCAGTGATGAAGTCCTTCCCTCTTGTTCCTGTTCCCAGCCAGCAGACGTGTGTGAGATTCTTGAAACAGCATTGGTTTTTAAATTTTTTTCCACGTTTTCCTGTTTATTGACATCTATTTTTGCCATTCTTCACATTAGGTTGGCTTTTTAAATTAAACCATCCCATTTAGATTTTGACTGGCAAGAGATTGGTACTTACGTACGACTCAGAGTGAGCCAGTGTCTTTACATTCAGATTTGTCCCCCAAGTAGGTTTCCCCACTAAGGCAGGTGCCCCCTGTATCTTTCCCAGTGACCACCTGTGCCATGGGTCTTACCTTCTGTCCCAGGTGGCCTGGACTGCTCTGTCTCCTTCGTGTCTCGGGTCCTGGGGAAGATCTGCATCCAGGGGAGACAGAGTGAGTACTGCCTGCTTTAGGGTGAGCACAGCGCCTGCTTCCCTCTCTGGTGGTCCTCCTATCTCCTGGGAGGTCCCCTTGGGGAGGTTAGCAATTACCTCCTGTCCTGTCGCAGTGGCAGCAAAGCTCCTCTCTTGGAGTTGGCCCTGGATCTGACAGTGTTGGTAGTGGGCCTTGGCTGTGCCGATTAGCGAGCTCACAGGTCTGCGGACATTTGACAGCTCCTGAGCCTTAGGTCTGTGTGTCCCCTCAGAAGAGATCCTGGATGTGTTGGTGCCCCAGCTGACAGCGCTCACCCAGGGCAGCTGCCTGTGGCAGCGGGTCTGCTGGCGCCTAATGGAGCAAGTACCTGACCGCACCATGGAGGCTGTGCTGACCGGACTCATAGAAGCTGCTACAGGGTAAGCAGCAGGATGGGGTTCAGGTTCTGCCTTGGCTGCCATCCCCTGTGCTGCTTTTCCTGCGTGCCACACTGCAGCACGGTGCTCCCCAGTGTTCTTGGTTGCAGGTGTCTAGCCTCCCTTAGCACCGCTGTTTCAGGTTGGTCAGTTGTTGTGCAAATGTAAATGCTGATGGCACCACTTTTGCTGTTGCCGGTAGGGCCTCCCACCTGGTCCTGGAGCCTCTATGCAAGTCCAGAGCAGGACGCAGAACAACCTTCAGCTGGCCAGGCCTCCAGGTCCATGCTTCATGGACCGCAGCCTCTGTCCACATTGCAGCTTTTTGCAGTGCAAGCAAGGGTCCTATTTTTATATAGATCTGTATAGATGTATATCTATATATATCTATCTTAGTAAAGCAGCGTAGATATTATCAGTAGCTCAAGCGGAACGTAACGGTGTGAGCGAGAGGTATTCCAGCAGAAGCCCTGGGTAGGTAGCTCAGCAGGAGTTTGTCCACACACATTTCTTGCCCATCAGCAGATCCCTTCCTGCTTCAGCCTCCATTTGAGGAGATGCACCCTCCCTCCAGAGATGTACCCCCCCATGCCGTGAGCTGTCCTTGGCTTTGGCTGTGACACAGGGTGGCTCCTTTTTTTTTTTTTGGTTTTTTGAGACAGGGTCTCACTATGTAGTTGAGACTGACCTGGAACTCCCTATGTAGCCCAGGCTGGTCTCGAACTCACAGTGATCCTCCTGCCTCAGCCTCCCAAGTGCTGGGATTACAGGCGTGTGCCACCACGCCCGGCGTGGCTCCTTTTTTTTGGGTACCAGGGATCAAACTCTCGTCCTTGTGCTTGCAAGGTAGGCTGCTACTGAGCTAAATCCCTGAGCTCCTTTTGCTCACATCTTTATAAATGTGTGCAGTTGAATCTGGGTTGTAGGTGTCCCTGAAAGCAGCCTTCTAGGGTATCTGCACACTCACACACACTGCCAGGTCGCCTGCCCTCAGACAGGCCTCTCCCCAGTGTCACTCTAATCTTGACTTTGTGTTCTGGGGCTCTGGGCGGGGGAATATGTATATTCTTGGGGTGTATTTAAAAGCGCTCCCTCCACCCAGATTCTAGGACTTCTCCCAGTGATATGACTTGGGTTTTTGTAATGTGCTGCTAACCACGAGGAGCACTTTGCACCAGAGCATTGCTCAGGGTTCAGAATCTCCTCTGTCACCAGGCATGGTGGCACATCCCTGTAATCCCAGCACTCGGGAGGCTGAGGCAGGCGGATCTCTGTAAGTTCAAGACCAGCCTGGGCTACATAGTGAGTTCCAGGTCAGTCTCAACTACATAGTGAGACCCTGTCTCAAAAAAACAAATAGAATCTCCTCTGTCCTTTGATTGTTTCCAGCGTAGCCCTTCCCTGTGCTGAGGCTGTACATCTGTTTGCATAGTTTCTTTCTCTAAATTTTTAGGGATTTGTTTTCCCTTTTCCTTTTTCTTTTTTAAACTTTTTTTGTTTCTTTGTGGAATTTTCAGTGACAAGTAAGGAGAAATCATGTCTGTACACCAGCTGGGGTGTTTACCAGGTTCTGCTTGAGAGCAGGGGCCTTGTAGTCTAGTTCACGGGCCTGCAAAAGTCCTGTCCTTGGGCCGAAGTGTTTTTTGTCAAGCAAGTTTTTTATTTTCTTTTTATTTGTAAACCAAGTTTTATTGGCACACATCCATGCTAACTCATTTATGTATCTGCCTCGGGCTGTTTTCAGCCTAGACTACAAAGTTAAGTGGTTGCTGGCGGCTAGCCTATCAACCTAAAGTAGGTGACCTCTGGCCCTTTACAGCAAAGATCTGAGTCCTGCTCTGGGTGAAGCACATGGCCTTTGGTTGTTCAGGCTGGGATTGCCATCCTGTGTTAATGTGCTTACCTCGGTGTGGGACTCAGGGCCTCCCTGGGAGGAAGAAAGGCTAAAAATCCACTCAAGCTGTCGGAGCTTGCCCGAAGGCCCACAGTGAGCAGGTGGCACAGCCCAGGCCTGTCGGCATTTTGCCTGCCCGTGTTCCTCAGTACCTCTGACCCCACATCGACAGCTGCCTTGTAACCCTGGCTCCTCTTGATCTTGCCTCAGCAGGCCTGAAGTTCTGTCGAGATTGCTGGGAAACCTGGTAGTGAAGAGCAAGAAAGCGCAGTTTGTGATGACCCAGAAGCTTCTGTTCTTGCAGTACCAGCACAAGGTGAGCGTGATGGGCAGGGGACGGGCTGCAGGCTGCCCTGTCACAGGGAGAACCGCTGTGAAAAGAGGGCGTTAGACGGGCTTTGGGTGTAGCTTAGAGAAAACACTCAGGCTCAGCTTGCAGAGTGCCGTGCTCCACCCCCAGTGCCACGAGAAGACAAGCAGAGTGCCGTTAGAGCAGTAGTCGGTCACGTGGGAAATGTCCGTGAAGTTGTAGGCATGTCCCTGCCATGCTCATGGTCCCTGCTGAGGCCTGGCACCAAGTGACAGCTTCCCCAGCCCTTCCGTCCTCCTGACCAAGGCACCTGTGAGGATGCACTCTAGAGGACGCCTTTACTGACTGCATTCTTTTTGCTTTGTTTGGTACCGGGGATCAAACTCAGGTCCTTGTGCTTGAGAAACCGGTGCTGGAACCACTGAGCTAAATCCCCGGCCTTACTGACTTCATTCTGTGCACGGGCATAAACATGTCCTGACAGGGAGGCTATACGCTCTGTGTCTGCACAACTTTGCAGCTACGATTGCTGGTTGGCCGGCAGGTCAGAGCCAGGGAGAGTCAGTAGCAGAAAATCCCAGACTGCAGAGTGGCCAGGAGTGGCATGGGGCCTACTGCATCCTTGCAGCTTGCTTTGTTTTTTAATTCACCAAATGTTTTTTTTCCTTGTATTTTTTTGAGACAGGGTCTCACTATGTAGTTGAGACTGACCTGGAATTCACTATGTAGCCCAGACTGGTCTCAAACACACAGAGATCCTCCTGTCTCAGCCTCCCAAGTGCTGGGATTATAGGCATGTGCCACCAGGCCTGGCTCCTATTCACCAAATGTTTGATGGACATCCATTGTGTGCCGGACTTTGTTGTGGATGCTGAGTGTTCAACTAAGGACAGAAGAACAATTGTCCCTCTTTTTTTTTTTGACACTGGGATTGAAAATGGGTCCTTGTGCTTGCAAGGTGGAACCACTGAGCTAAATCCCCGGCCCCAATTTATGGAGTTCCCATTAGAAGCAGGGAGGCAGATGTTAACACGCAGCCAGTGTGGCATGTCTGGTGCTGACAGGGCCCAGCAGGCCAGCAAGTGCTGCAAGAGTCTGCAGAGTCTTCTGATGAGACGAGCCCAGAGCCAGGGGTGTGACTGGGAGTAGGTAATGGTAACAACTGGTAACAGTTAGGGAAGAAGGCCCCTTGGTGGCCACAGAGCAGGAGAGCAGGGCTTGTAGTGAGGGCAAGCCAGGTTGGGTTGAAGTAGGCAGCTGGGGAATCTGAGCAGAGGCAACCAGACTGAGCTGTGTTAGCAAGACTCACTTCTTCCCTTTGCCCCCCGTGCAGAGGTCATAGGTGTAGTGGCCAATTTGGAAATGAGGCTAACTCTCACCTGGCAGCATGGCATCGAAGCCGGGGTAGAATCCTGAGAGCCCTTGGGAATTCAAGAACCGAGCATCTGGTTACCCTGCAGCATGACTAGGAGAGGGTGGAAGTTACTTAACTGAGCTAAAGCACACTCAGTCCTTTTGCAAGGGGCAGGTGGAGAATGTGGCTCAGCCAGAATGTGTGGTGAGCCAGAGAGCCCCACAGGCTCCTGAGCACAGCCTTCAAGGCCCCAATCCATATAAGCAAACCTGTGGGACAGGGCTGCGGAACCAGAACTGCAGGCACCAGAAGAAGCGTTCAGAAGTCATTTCCAGGCAAAGCTGTTGAATTAGAAATCAGTAGTAAAAAGTAATAACTTAGCAACTACAACATTACTGCTAAAGGAAGCCATTCAGGGACCAAGGAAGAAACACAACAAAAATGGCGGAACCTAGACCTGTACACAGTAAAGTAGTTCCACAGAAAAGCATGTGGAATCAGCTGATGTCGGGACCAGGAGAGAAATGTATCACCTCAGGTACTGTTTGAATGAAGAAGAGAAAGGCAAAGAATCACGTCTCGGAGCTCTGTCAAAAGGAAGGAACCCAGAGAAAAGTGGAAGCTGGTGCCAGGCAAGCTGTCCTGGCATTAGAAATTTGGGGTGGAAGCTGTGTGCAAGATGTGTAGAGTCAAAAGCAGCTGAGGTGGGGCTGGGGATTTGGCTCAGTGGTTCCACCGCCTGCCTCACAAGCACAGGGACCTGAGTTCGATCCCCAGTACCAAAAAAAAAAAAAAAAAAAAAAAAAAAAAAAATTGCAGCTGAGGAGCGCAGCCCCATGGTAGAGAAGGCGACCTTTACTTTGAGGTGGAACCAGGAAATCTGATAGATAGCGCACAGCTCAACGGCAGTCAGATTTCAAACTTCGATGAAATAGGAAATGTCCTTAGAAAAGTTATGTGCCCAAACTGATGAATGCGGAAGTGGAACAAGCCCCCGAGAAGCTCATGCTTCCAGTTTTGTGGGCGAGTAGAGCTTCCTGGTGGGTGTCCCTCTTACTGGGAGGCGAAGGGTAGCAGTGACCTGTTCTTCATCCTGGGCTTCTGGGCCCTTGGGAGCCCCCGTGCAGGTGGCATCCAGCCAGAGGGCCATCTCTGGTAGACAGGATGCCAGCTTTTGTTGTAGACGCGCATGCTGCAGAGCCTGCTGGGATATTTGGCTATGGACAGCCAGCGGCGGCCGCTCCTTGTACAGGTGAGTGCCCTGTCTCTGCTGCCCTTGCTGTCCGCCTGGCAGGGATGGGTGGAGGTCTTGGGTGGGAGGGCCTATGGCAGAACTTTGCCTGACCAGGTAGGCTTGTGCTTCCGGCAGGCACTGAAAGAGCTGCTGCAGACGTGGGGCAGCAGCAGTGCTGTCAGACACGCGCCCTTGGCACAGCAGCAGTACCTCAGCGCAGCCATCCTTATCTGCCTGGCACACTTAAGGGAGCCAGAGCTGAGGGACAGCCAGGACGGTGAGTAGGCTGTGTGAGCGCACCCCTATCCTGGGCATCCCAAGGAGTCCTCAGGGTGCATATCCGGTGCTTCCAGAACTGCTGGCCAGCATGATGGCAGGTGTGAAGTGCCACCTTGACAGCAGTCTCCCCACTGTGCGTCGCCTGGGCATGATCGTGGCGGAGGTCATCAGTTCCCGGATCCATTGTGAGGGCCCAGCCCTGAAATTCCAGGTGAGCAGGGTCACCTTGTCCATTTCCTCTTTGGGTGGCGGAGCCCTGGGATAACCTAGCTGTCGCGCCAGCCCGACAAGCACCTCACCTTCCTGGGGTCCAGGCTTATGCCTCCCATTTTGGCCACACTGAGGGCCAAGGCTTGAGGGGCAGCAGGTGGTACCGTGTGGGGTCAGGGCCAAGCATGAGGATGTCCTCCCCGGGGAAGAATTCCTGGATTCCTCCCCAGATTTTGTCTATGTAAGAGTCCGAGGGTCTTCGTGGGCTACCCACAGTAGTGTATGTACCATCTGGCGTGTCCAGCCAGCTCCCTCACTTGCCTGGCCTTCCTTGTGCTGGCAGACACCCTTCCTTCTATTTCTTAAGTTCCTGGGAAGCCTTCATGGGTGTCAGCCCCCTAGGGATCCCCACTTCCTCAGGAGCAAGCTCTTCAGCTTGAGGTAGACGCATGCAAGGTGTTTTGAAAGAGCACAGGTGACTGGCTGTGGGAAAGGCTGCTGAATGAGATGTGGATGGTCGGAAAGGAGGACTTGGCTGTGCCGCGTCTGTCCGTGGTGAAGTGACATCTGTGAGCTGCCGGGTGTCACTCACTGCAGCATCTGTACTTGTAGTACGAAGACGATGAGCTGAGCCGTGAGCTGCTGGCCTTGGCCACCCCCAGGACTGAGGGCAGCAGCCCCATAGAGGCAGGGTGAGGATCTGCACATGCCCATCCCCACCCTGAGTGTGCCTTGTCATTCTGGATTCTGGTCCCCAGGGACGTGGGTGAGAGTGATAGGGTCGTCTCAGTGGGAAGTGACAGGCCTGAGGCTCACAGGGGTGACCCTCGAAGGCTGTATTTCTCCTCATTTCCTAGAGGTCCATCACCGGCCCCCACTGCCTCAGAGACCCTTGCAAAGACCATGGATGATGGTGTCAAGTCTGCCAATGGGAGTGTCCCCCAGGCTGGGCCACAAGGCTCTGACTCAGACCGGGACAGGTAAGGCGGGGCTCCTCTGGTCTCTGCTGAGCCCAAATGGTGCTTGAGGGGCAGTTCTGTGGCCTGCATGGTAGGGGATTCTGGACAAGTGAGCACAATAGGAGGCATCTGCTAGGGTTCTGTGCTGCTCATGTCCTCACTCTCAGCTCCCTGCTGTCCCCAGCAAGAGCTCGCGGGGTCCCTGGCGTACTGCAGCCTCAGCTTCTCAGTGCTCCCTGAAGCTTCGGGGCTGTGGGAATGTTACTGTCTGGCACTGTTAGGACGTGCTCTTAAGGATGGGTAAGTTGAAGGGGCATGGAGGCTGAGCTTTCTCCCGCTGCGGTGAGTGGTTCCGGTGTCTCTCTTTATTTTGTCACAGTGACGATGAATTCATCCCCTACGATATGTCAGGGGACAAAGAGCTGAAGAGCAACAAGGCACCCTTGTACGTCCGGGACTGCTTGGAAGGTGGGCCTGGCTGGGGTGGCAGATCTCTGAGTGTGCCTGAGCCCTGTCTTCATGTTGCCCTGATCCTCTTGGCCTCCCAGCTTTTCAGGGTCAGGGCTGATACTGACTGGAGCATGTGTGGGTTTTGTGCAGTGCTGACCTCATCGGAGGATATGGAGTGCTGGGAGGCAGCCCTGCGGGCCCTCGAGGGCCTAGTGTACAGGAGCCCTGAGGCCACTCTCGAGGTAAGCGGTGTGGGCTTGTCAGGAAAGGGGGAGGTTGGAGAGTTCTCTGCTGGCAAGTCCCCAGTGCCATCTACATCCTGGGTCGTGGAAGGGTGGAGCATCTTGTGGTGAGCTGTGTCCCTTAGGAGACCTGGGACCTAGAGTCTCTGCTGTGGTGGGTTGGCAGGCAGGCAGCCTGAGCTCTGACTTGAGGGCCGCATTGGGGCTGCTGGGTTAGGTGGCCAGAGCCCGAAGGTTCCCTGACCCTTGACCCCTGAGTACAGGTAAGTGTGGAGCTGGCCAAGGTACTGCTGCACCTGGAGGAGAGGACCTATGTGTCTGGATTTGAGGGTCTGCGCCGAAGAGCCCTGGTGGCCGTCGTCGTCACGGACCCAGTCCGGGTGAGTCCCAGTGTAGGTGGGCATGTTTTGCGCCTGGGTTGGCTGTGTGGTGCCTGGAGGGCCTCTGGGATCCTGGTCCATAGTAGCCTCTCTCCTTTGCTGGGCTCAGGTGGCTGAGTATCTGATATCACAGTTCTACGCCCTGAACTACAGCTTACGGCAGCGCTTGGACATTCTGGATGTAAGTGCCTTGTTCCCCCATCTCCCCTGCCAGGTCCAAGCTACCTTAAGGTGGGGAGGTCAAAAATCTACATAGATAGTGACCAAAGGTCTCTCCAGGCTTCTTTGTTGTAGACCTAAGAGCCCTAGGCAGCCTTAGTATACCTCTGTGAGTGGAGCCTCTGTTCTCCAGTGCAGGGGCTGGGTTCTTCACTTTAAGTAACAGTTCTATTGATGTGTTTTATGCACAATAAAATTCATCACTTAAAGATAAACAACTGGGCGTGGTGGCGCACGCCTGTAATCCCAGCACTTGGGAGGCTGAGGCAGGAGGATCACTGAGGCCAGCCTGAAGTACTAAAGTACATAGCAAGACTGTGTCTCAAAAACCAATAAAAAGGTCTTCCTGTGGCTGAACATTATCCAGTTACAGAAAAGAATAAAGGTCTGATACATGCTGTAACAAGGATGGACCTCAACAACATGTTAATGCCACAGGACATGTGAATTGTCCAGTTTTGCCAGGCAAAAGGCTGGTCGCTTGGGCCTGCGGGAGGTCAGTGTTTGATGAGGACAGACTTTCCATATTGGAAAACTGAAAAGTTCTAGATGGATGCTGATAACTGCATGTGAATGTGCTTAATGCCACTGAGTTGTGTGCTGAAGAATGGATAAAATAGAGGGGCATGGGAATGTATGCCTCTAATCCCTGGGAGGCTGAAGCAGAAATATCGCCAGGAGTACAAGGCCAGCCTGTACCACATAGTGAGACTCTGTCTCAAAAAAAAGTGTTAATGGTAAATTTTATGTTTTACCACCTCAGAAAACACCAAGAATGCACCATCTCACAGTGAACAATCCAGGGCTGTTCAGCACATTGACAGTGTCGTACACCGCTCCTCTGTCTAGTTTTATTTATGTCTGCTTTTTTTTTTTTCTATTCTCTTCTCAGTATTGGGGATCAAACTTGGGACCTTGCCCTTTTGAGGCAGGCATAGTGCCACTGAGCTAAATCCTCGGCCCCATTTTTGGTTTTTTGAGACAGGTCTAGGGAGGACGGTGCACTAGTCTGGGTGTTCTCTGCCTTGAGAGAGCTCCTAGCCCAGCTGCCCAGTGAAGCACAGAGCTTCGGAGACATTTGGAAGTGCCCTAGGATGCTGGGCATTGCTGCTAGTCCAGGGTTCCGTGGGCACTTAGCTGATAACTTTTCACATCGTTCTCAGAGCTATGGCACTGCCCAGGGTCCTCCTTCTCCCGCAGGTCCTGACTCTGTCAGCCCAGGAGCTGTCTCGGCCAGGGCACCTTAAGAGGTCTCCCCAGCAGGTGTCCTGTGGTTCTGGTGCCCCAGTACTAGCTACCTCTCAGCCTGACCACACTGCAGGTTCGGGCTGGCGAGCAGTTGTGGAAGAGAGAATCAGAAGCAAGACCCGGCGGTTTTCCAAGGTCAGCTGGGACCCTGGTCAGGTCATGGCAGGTATGGGGACTTGGGGTGGCAAATGAGCAGCCATGTTCCTGAAGCCATGTTCCTGAGACGGTAGCTGGATCCTAGTTCAGGGATGGGGTTACTGCTAGTGCTTCAAAGGAGTGAGTTTATAGTGCAAACAGCCTAGTCAGACCAGTGTGGTTTAACAATAGGAATACAGACATGGAAGTGAAAAGGTCTCAGGAGTGCTGGGTCAGAAAGTGATGACCTGGTGGGTGGCTAAGGGTGCTCAACCACGGTGGCCTTGCCCTGTCTTGGGATGTCAGGAGACTGAGGAACCGTAGGGGTGGGACGGAGGCCCACAGCCTGCTCAGCATCTCATGGCACCCAGGACCGCCTACCACGAGGACTGTCCATCCTGAATGTTAAACGGGGTTGGGACTCCCCGTTCCAGGCCCCAGGCACTTTCCCAGTTGCAGCAGCCTCTGTGTAGGGCCATGGAGGAGGAGGAGGTTGGGGAGCCAGCACAAGGCCTGGCCTATGGAGCTTTGGGCTCAGGTGACCTGTAGAGAAGGTGGGGCCTCGAACCTCTGCGAGTGCACATCTGTGTGTTTGGCAGGGCTTTCCCTGGAGGGAGCTGCTAAGTAGCCCCAATGAGTTCAATTCTGTGGCTGGCTACTTCTTCTTCCCCCTCATTCGACACTTTGACAGGTGAGCATGTTTTCTGGAGCTTTTGGCCTACCCCTATGGACAGGTGGAGTTGCAGGATGAGGTTTGGGGCGGGACTCTGGGCAGGAGTGTGTTGCTTACAAAGCTTAAGTTAAATGTCATTGAGCTGTGTGAAGGGCCTGCCTGTGTTCCTAGAGTTTGGGTTTGCAGAGAAGTTGGTGATACATAGTGGCAACCAGTGCTGCTACCCATGTGCTCCCACTGGTTCACCTCTTCCCACCTTGGTAGGCAGAGCTGGGCTCCCCAACTGGCATGGTGGAGAAAGGTGCATTCCTGACTTGGAGTTCAGAAGCCTTCTTGTGGCTCTCCTGGTGCATTTGGGGTGACTGCAGGAGGGTTCTGTGGAGGGGTCTCTCTCAGCCGCTCCAGAGGTTAGGCAGCCAGGCCTGAGGTGCTGGGGCTATCGTGTTTCCTTGATTCTGTGTTGTAGGCCTCTGGTGACCTTTGATCTTTTGGGAGACGACCAGTTGGTTCTTGGAAGACTGACTCACACCTTAGGGGCCTTGATGTACCTGGCTGTTAACACCACAGTGAGTTGACGGCCCTGCCATGTTGCATTCCCAGCAACGGCATGTAGGAATTACTTTGAGTGTTCACACAAAAGGCTTAAGCTTCGTGTGGCCTGCCCTGGGGTGCGGGGTCGGGGAGATGGCCAAGGTCATAGACATGAAGCACTGCACACCCGCAGTTCATCCTCCCCTCACCTGAGCCCTGGTGACTGGCTTGTGGGACACCCCACAGGGCATTAAACACAACCCTTAGCTCCAGTGAGCTCTGATGAGCCCGGGCCCTGAGGCCAACCTATGGAGTTCCAGACGTGGGGAACAAGCATGGTGGACACGTTGCCCACTGCCCCTCTGCTGGTCTTCAGGTGGTCGTGTCCATGGGCAAGGCCCTGCTGGAGTTTGTGTGGGCCCTTCGCTTCCATGCTGACATGTAAGTGGCGTACGGGGCTGAGGGAAAGGTGGGATCTCCAGGGCAGCTCGGCCTGGCCCTTTCTCAACAGAAAGTGGGCCTGGCGGCCAAGGGTGTCAAGGACTGAGTATGCTCGTAGCAGGGTGTCTGCCGGACTTGGGGGGTGGCGGGAGGTCTCTCTGACTTAGGGAGCTGTCCCCGTGGTGCCGGCCGTATGTTTGCAGCCCCATCCCCAAAGCTGCACCTCATCTTTCCCACTTCCTCTTGGCAGCTATGTACGCAGGGGTCTGCTGTCTGCCGTATCTTCCATCCTTCTCAGTGTACCTGCTGAGCGACTGCTGGGGGACCTGTGTGATGAGCTGTTGGAAGCCAGGTCCTGGCTTGCCGGTGAGTGTGAGCCTGGGCTGTGCCAGCAGGGCAAGAAGTCGTCAGGGCATGAAGGGGCTGGAGCAGGCCAGGTGTGGGCCACCAGTCTGAATGGGTGCTTCTCTTTGCCTGTGCTAGGCATAGTGGCCCATGTAGTGTGCGTGTGTGGGGAGTGTCTTGTCATGGTCACTTTGGGGAATCTTGCAGGGGTCCCTTCAGGTGAACCCCACATCCAGAAAGGTGATATGGATAGGAGAATGGCAGGAAACTCTACCCAGCTTCGCCAGTGCAGCGTTTCACCATGTCTTGTCTCTTTTCCCTTTTTAAAAAAGTCAGCTGTAGACACTGTGACCCTTCCCTCCAAGTTCTTGAGCTAGACCTATGGACAGCCCACTCACCCCCAGGACTGACCTGGGAACCCCATATCTAGACAGCAACAGCACTGGGCACAGGTCATCATTCTGAAAGGCTCTCGCTTTGACTGTAATTTTCATTCTGGTCTTGGGAAGTAACTGCTACTAGTGGAGCTTCCTGGTGGCTCCCAGGTCCCAACACAAGGCCATGGGGGAGGTCCCCTGAATGGCAGTTCCATTCCCCAAGAGCCAGATGGTGATTCCAGACCCCTAGACCTGCCTTCTTGTTTGTTTGTTTGTTTGAGACAGGGTCTCACTATGTAGTTGAGACTGAAATGGAACTCACTGTGTAGCCCAGGCTGGTCTTGAACTCACAGCGATCCTCCTGCCTCAGCCTTGAGTGCTGGGATTACAGGCATGGTCCACCACACCCAGCCTAGACCCGCTTCTAGTTGGCCTCCCCCAGGTGGGTAACATCTGATTGCTGAGTGGCAGGCAGCCCCTGTGAACTCCTTAGGGCTTTGCTTCTGAGACCACAGCCTGCAAAGGAGGCACTGTGGGGGAGTTCCAAGCTCATGCACAGGCCCTGGCCCCCCTTTCCTGTGCTTATGTGAGGTTTGGTGGTGGGGGCACCAGCACCAACTCCACTCTGGTGTCCAGACTTGCAGGCTGACCATGTGACCTGCCTGTTCCTAAGTCCCTCCCTCCCGATAGAGGCATCTACATCACCTGGCTGATCACAAGGCTCATGGACAGACACAGTAGAGAGCCTTCTGTCAGGTGTGAGAACCACAGGAGGGTCTCGTAGTGAAAGGAGAGCTGATGCAGAACACCTGTAGCACTACCCTTTTGCTTCTTAACCTTGGCAGATGTGGCTGAGAAGGATGTGGATGAGGACTGCAGGGAGCAAGCAGTGAGGGCTCTGCTGCTTTTGGAGAGACTCAAGGACAGGCTCCCTCCCCTCTCTCATTAACCCTCGGAGCTTCCCACTGTTCCAGCTGGACCACTGCCCCCGGGAAGACAGAGCCCAAGGAGTGGAGCCCGGGCTGCCTCTGGGCTATGCAGCACAGCCGGGTCTGGACGGTGATGGGGTACTATGTGCATATGAAGGAAGGCCTGCACCCCTTCACCTGCCTGGAGCCCGGCAAGGTCTTGCACTGCCTCCCACAGCACAGGGCAGCCAGAATGCTGGACTGGAGCTGGGCTGGGGGAACGGCACTGAGAAAACCTCCTCTCAAGGCTAGAGCCAGTGGGAGCCCCAGAACGGAGGAGAGGAGGTAGTTGTTCAGAGCCCCCAACACCCTCATGCAGGGGTGCCAGACCAGCAGAGCAGGCTCGGCCCTCTTGTGGGCTTCTCATCACTGGATCCCTAGGAGAATAAACAGCGCAGCGATGTTATGAAGCCCTCCTTTGTGGTTCTCTCTGGGTGGAGACAGCTTCTCCACAGACGCAGGTGTGGTGGGGAAGAGGGACACGGGTCCCAGAAAATAGGCTTTACTTAAGTCATGGTAATGTCATCAGCCAATGGGTGGGGCTTGGGTCCCTGTTCCACATTCACAGCTTTCAGGGCTCAGGCCTGCCATGGTGATCCCTGCTAGGAAGAACCCTGCGTGTGTGGTTTGTAACAGGTGTCCCCAACCCCCACGTACAGTCTCAGTTGCGAAGCTCTAGAGTTTTCCTAGGCGCCACAGTCTGTAGTTGGTAAAACGTGGAAAAGATGAATCCAAGTTCCCTCAAAGGAACTAAACCAGAAATCCATGGGAGCCACCCAGCTACCAGGGGCCGGAGTACTGGTAGATAATTAAAATACAGGGTCTTCCTTTTGTACATGGAGACAAGGAGACAGCGGTGTACCCTCCTGTTCCTCCAGCCCGGCTTACGTGTGACAATACAGAAATGGAGGTTTTCAACAAGAAAAGTAGCCTCTGCTACTACTGGTGCCTCAAAGATTCCAGAAGCAGCTTTCCCAGCAGTGACAGGACACAGGCCAGGTGGCCAGGCACTGGGGTCCCTCACAGGTCATTATCTACCTCTTCCACCACTTCCTCCTGGTCCTCTGTGCTGTTGTGGTGGGTCCGCTCGGGTAGCACGTGTGTCAGAGGCAGGCCCAGGGCCCGGTACACGGTGTCCATGGTCCGCTGATCCACGTAGTATAACATGTTGGTGGAAGGGAGTTTCTTCTGCATCTCCTCCAGGTATCGGTAGGCCTAGGGCAGCGGTGACAGTGGTTACTTGGGTCCAGCAGACATCACAACCATGTGGTTCTCATGTTTAGTCCATTGAGAACCAATAGAACCATCATAATTCATATTTGTTCACTATAACCAAGTTTCCTAAACATGAAGTACCCAGCTCTCCACCTCAGGGTCAAGAAAAAGCAGGAAAGTATGCCTTTCTGCAACAGGGCACATGGGTTCACTGGTCTGAGGCTTCCTGGTATTTATAAGGGGACTGGTATCCCAGGATCACTCATGTTGCAGATTCCGAATGGTTAACACTAAGTTGTGATTAGCATGGAAAGCTAAAAACTGGGTCCTTTTGAGAGTCCTTTTGTAGCCAGTAGGCAAGATCCTGATTTGAGTCCTAGGGCTGTGTTTCTTCTAGAACCTGCTCACCTTAGTGGTAAGGGAAAGTGAGTTCTGTGTTTTTATCCTGCCTGACGCATGTGCTCCTCTGAATGGAGGGCAAACAGCGGTACTAATGGTTTATCTTGGTCATTTGAATCAATAATTTAAATTATAGGCCCAGTAAACAGGGATAATCAGTCTCCTGTATGAATGGTCCTTGATCCTAGGCCAGTAAAGTATGTAATCCTAAGTGGTTTTCCTGTGAGATTCTCTCTGGTTTTGCCAGTGGGAATACAGAGGTGGGCACAGGAGTGGCAGTCAGAGCAGCTCAAAGTGGGTCCTGAGGCAAGACAGAACTGGCCTCAGGTAGAGGACCATGCTCACACCTGTTCATCCTCAAGGACAGCACAAATGCAGGAGGAGGAAAGGGGCCTTGTGTAGCCCTGTGTACACAAGAACTTAGAATGTAACCAAAATTTCAAGCAGCTTTCAATTTTTTTTCTTTAGGAATAAGTATTTGATCTTAGTATGTCATTCATTCATTCATGGTACTGGGAATGGAACTCAGGACCTTGTGCTGTGAGGCAGGTGGTAGTACTGAGTTAATTCCCTGGCCCAGATCTTAGTATTTGTTAAGGATGGTAAAATTCTTAGAACACTTTTGTTTTGAACAGGTATAACTAATAAATATATCTGTAAAGACGGTAGATTTTGATGACATTGAGCTTCAAACCGTGTTCAGAGACTTCTGCCAGGGCTGGCAGGACAGCTAAGTGAGCCTGCGCTCGGTCTCACACTATCCTGGAAGAGGTTTTCTGGACATTTATCGGCTGCTAACACTGCCAGGTGCATGGGACACAGGTACAAAGGAGCTCAGGACCGAGTGGGCCAAGGGCAGCAGAAACTGGGGAGGACCTGGGGTCTTCTGGCAGCAGAATTCAAGGAAGGCTGACACTGGGAAGGAGGAAAGAGTGAAGAGCTAGCTCGGAGGTGAGAAGAGCACCTTTTCCGGTGGGAAAGGCTTGTGCCCACTTCAACACAGCTGGACCCAGCTTATGCATCTCCTCAGCTGGGAAAATGCCAAATCAGACAAGAGATGATGAAAATTATAAAGTCTGAAGTGAAAAATTGGATGGGATTAACATTGCATAGACATTGTGGAAGGAAAAAGTATGAACCTGAAGAAATGAAATGAAAGGAAATTTGGAACTATCCAACATGAAAAACAAAATAATGGGTGAAAAGGGAAAATGAGTAAGTTGAGCTAGGGGATATCAGATACAAAGTAGCTGCGAGTTCCAGGAGAGGACAGAGAAGGAATAGAAGCAGACTTCCTTATAATCTAGGAAATACACATACGTGTGTGTGTGTGTGTGTGTGTGTGTGTGCGCGCGTGTGTTTTTACCGGGGATGGAACTCAGGTCGTGCTTCTGAGGTAGACAATGGAACCACTGAGCTAAATCCCCAGCCCAATCTAGGAAATATTTGCAAGTCATGTATTTGGTAAAGGAAATGTATAGAGCATGTAAAGAACACAATAACAAAAACTAAAATGAAGGAAAAGTTTAAATACTTCACAAAAGAAGATATACATGTGGGTGATATGCACATGAGAAGATGCTCAACATCAGTCACCCATGAAATGTAAAATAAAACTACAATGAGGGTACAAACCTGTAATGCGGGGCAATTTCAAAAATCCTGTCTAGGCCTGGGATTTAGCTCAGTGGCACCATGCCTGCCTCCCAAGTGCAAGATTGAGTTTCATACCCAGTACCCACCCCCAAAATCCTGTCTCAATATGAAACAGGGTTGGAGGTGTAGCTCAGTCCTAAAGCATTTGCCTAGCGTGCATGAGGTCCAGGATTCAATCCACGGTCCCCAAAATACTACAGTGTGATATTGCCGCCCGCCCACCAGGATGGCTAACATGGGATCACACACATGCTGGTAACAGAGATGAACACTGGTACAAGTTGTGACCTAGGTGAGTCTCTGATGTGGACAATCTTTTAATAAAAATGATTACAAAAATAAACGTCATTCAGACGTGGTGTGGGGGACACTGAAAAACAAAATGAATTTGTAATAAAGTTACTAATAGATTCATTCATAGGAAAATGGATACATATTGAAGATATACTCCTAAGTGAAATAAATAAGTCACACATGTGTAAATACCGAATAGTTTCCCTGGTGTGAATGAAATGTATAGAGCATGTAAAGAACACAATAACAAAAACTAAAATGAAGGAAAAGTTTAAATACTTCACAAAAGAAGATATACATGTGGGTGATAAGCACATGAGAAGATGCTCAACATCAGTCACCCATGAAATGTAAAATAAAACTACAATGAGGGTACAAACCTGTAATGCGGGGCAATTTCAAAAATCCTGTCTAGGCCTGGGATTTAGCTCAGTGGCACCATGCCTGCCTCCCAAGTGCAAGATTGAGTTTCATACCCAGTACCCACCCCCAAAATCCTGTCTCAATATGAAACAGGGTTGGAGGTGTAGCTCAGTCCTAAAGCATTTGCCTAGCGTGCATGAGGTCCAGGATTCAATCCACGGTCCCCAAAATACTACAGTGTGATATTGCCGCCCGCCCACCAGGATGGCTAACATGGGATCACACACATGCTGGTAACAGAGATGAACACTGGTACAAGTTGTGACCTAGGTGAGTCTCTGATGTGGACAATCTTTTAATAAAAATGATTACAAAAATAAACGTCATTCAGACGTGGTGTGGGGGACACTGAAAAACAAAATGAATTTGTAATAAAGTTACTAATAGATTCATTCATAGGAAAATGGATACATATTGAAGATATACTCCTAAGTGAAATAAATAAGTCACACATGTGTAAATACCGAATAGTTTCCCTGGTGTGAATAATCTGCAATAAAACATAAGATTCTAATAAGATTACTGACATTTAGAAATGAGAAGAAAGGAGCTAAAGGTGTAGGGAAGGTGGGATGGGTAGGGGAAGGGTAATAAGGGAAAAGAAAAAAATGTGAGATAATGAAAAGATGAAAATAAAGTGTTTGTAGATGGGGAGGGGAGGAGGGGGTGAAGGGAGGGCAGGGACAAGGGGGAAAAAATGAGAAGACTTGTCATGTACAGGTACAAGATCCCAACAATGAATGTAACTGTACTGTATCCCTAAAATGTACCAATAAACTCAATTAAGCTGAAAAAAAACAAAACAAAAACAGTTACTGATAGTCTTTGCTGACCCCTCAGGCATGGGTACTCTGGTCCTGGGACAGCAGAGTGATCTCACCATCTGGTACTCCTCCATCTGCACGTAGCGCTCCACTAGGAAGCCGTAGATGTCTCCGATGCGGATAGTGCTGTCTAGGTCCGTCTCCTCCAGGAGCAGCTCACACTGCCTGATGGACTCCTTGGGGTCCTCTGTGTAGGACCTGTTGGGGGAAAGAGCAGGCCTGAGCACAACCCCAAAATGTGCCAGGGGCGGTGTGCTGTCCTGCCACAGTAGCTCTAGGAAGTGGCTGAAGATTTTTGTGAAGGAAATGCCTGTTGAGTTACTTTGTTAATTCAGTTAATCTGTTCATTTAACAAACACACTGACCACCTGCAGTGGCAGGTCCTGTGAACCCCAGTTCCTGTCCCAGGGTATATTTGAGAGAGAGCTCTGGGCCAAGAGTCTCATGCAGGGGACTTGTGATGTACCACCTAGCCCAAGGCAGCTGGGAAGAACTGTCCAGAGCGCAGGCCAACACATATGAGGTATAGGGTCTGTGGATGAGCTCTTCTGGGCC